AGGACTGAGCTGGACCATGGTGGGTGGGTACAGCAGGGCCTGGCACTGTGCCCTTCTCCAGCCTTGCATCAGGACCAGGGTCAGGGTCAGGGTCAGGGCTGGGGGCAGGCAGATCGCAGTTTCACTTTGAGATCCATACTCAGCCTAATTTTGGTTGCAACTCATGGCTTTTCCTGGCTGGTGCCAGGTCCTTTGGGTGAGTGCCCTGGCGGAGAGGCTGGAGAAGTGCCCACAGCTGCCTCGTAGGCATCTATCCAGCCCAGAGCCTCTGTCTTGCCTCCTGCAAGCCAGGCTGTAGGCAGAACAGCCTCTCCTCAGCACTACTTTATGGTCTCAGTGCTTGGTGCTGGGTTTCATCAGCTTGGGTTTCTTCCCCTGGTGTGGCTGATTTCAGTTTCTCACAAAAAAGCCTGGCTGATGCTGGCTGTGCTGAGCCTCACTGAAGAGTTTTCATGCAGCAAGGAAGAGCTCTCTGAGTCCTCCTCCCCCTCCTCCCCTTCCTCTTCCTCCTCCTCCTCCTCCTCCTCCTCCTCTTCCTCCTCCTCCTCCTGTTCCTCCTCTTTCTCCTCCTCCTCGTCCTCCTCCTCCCAGCCCACGGTCACTTCTCCAGCTGCTCCAGCAGTGGGTTGCCTTCTGAGTTGGGGTCTGAATGCTGTAGGTCCTGACGATGCAGGTGGGGCGGTGCCCATTGAGCATCGGGGTGAACTGCTGCCACTCCTGCTTTAGCTCCTCCATCTGGGTTTACAGCTCCACAGTCATGAGTCCAGCCACTCAGATTCCTGCTGCAGAACCTCCTTCTTCTTGTTCCAGCATCGGGCTGCCACCCCTTTGTCCCTTCCCCAGCACCTTCTCCTCTGCTCCTCTCCCTCACGTAGCTCACTTTTCACAGGTTGGGGCCTCTTGCCCAGGTTCATCTCCAAGAAGTGCAAAGGGGCGATCATGCCCTGGTGTTGTGGATGTCAGGGTATTTCAGCTCCTCTGCAGTCAGGGCTGAGCTGGGGAGTTCAGTCAGGGAGCTGAGCCCTGGCAAAGAGCCTGAAGTCATGGAAGGATCTGGGATGTGCCCAGGCATCATAGCAGGAGGAATGGCAGTCCAGCCCTGCAGAAGCCATGGGGAGAGGCTGTGACTCTGGGGCCTGGGCCAGGCTGCAGGTGCCATGCCTTCTCAGGAGCCGCTGTGGCGCCAGCCGTGCCCTGCAGAGTCCACGCAGCCAACACCTCCTGTTGCAGCCACTCAGCTTACCTCCCATGAGCTGTGGCCTTGGTCTCCCCCTTTGAGGCATTGATCCTGGGGCTCTGCCTACCTGCCTCTTTGTCCCCAATTGCTTGCCTGCTTACCTGATCACCCCTAAGTGCCTGCTGGGGGGCGGGGCAAGCCCTGCAAGGGGCAGAGGTGGTTCTGGTCTCTCATTGTTTTTTTTTTTTTGTTATGCCAATATGTTCACTGGGTTTTTATTATATAGGACTTCAATATTATGGACTTTATTCCCTAGACTTTACATCCCCATGAAAGTGTTGTAACTATTAATTTATAGAATTTACCAAAACTGGTTTTGCTCAGTGGATAGATCCTTGGCCTGCGGTCTGAAGGGTCCCTGGTTAGATTCCGGTCAAGGGCCTGTAACTTGGTTGCGGGCACATCCCCAGTAAGGGGTGTGCAAGATGCAACTGATCGATGATTTTCTCTCCTCGATGTTTCTTTTTCTATTTCTTTTTTAAAAAAAATATATTTTATTGATTTTTTACAGAGAGGAAGAGAGAGGAATAGAGAGGTAGAAACGTTGATGAGAGAGAAAAACATCAACCAGCTGCCTCTTGCACACCCCCTACTGGGGATGTGCCCGCAACCGAGGTACATGCCCTTGACCGGAATCGAACCTGGGACCTTTCAGTCCATAGACCGACGCTCTACCACTGAGCCAAACCGGTTTCGGCTCTCCTCAATGTTTCTGACTCTCTATCCCTCTCTTTTTCTCTCTGTAAAAAAAATCAATAATAATATATTTTAAAAAATTTATAGAATTTCCTTTTAGAATTTTTCAAATTTTCAGCAAGGGTGCCTCTCAATGGGAATTTTTATAATCTGTGGTTTATTTTGTTACCTTTTTTACCTTTGGTTGAGAATACTTAAGTTCTACCTCTTAATAAATTTCAACTCTTAAATACAATGTTATTGACTTTAGTCCACCTGTAAGAGTTTAGATCCTTAGGCCTTATTCATCTAATAATTGGAAGTTTGTACCTTTTTACCAACCTAATTTTCTGCACCCCCAACTTCTGACAACCACTTTTTAATGAATTTCATATTTTTTTAATTCTACATATATATTATACCATACAGTATTTTTTCTTTCTCTGTTTAGCTTGTTTCACTAAGCAAACTGCCTTCAGGTTCATACCTGTGCCAAATCGCAGAAATCTCTTTTTCTCCTGGGTGAATAATAACCTTCTGTGTGTGTGATAGTTTCTTTATCCCTTCATCCATTGAAGACACCTCGGTTGCTTTCAAACATTAACCACGGTGAATGCGCGCCAGTGAACATGGGAGACAGATATCTCTGCCAATAATTGTGTTGATCTGACTGGATATCTCAATTGGTTAGAGCCGTGGTTGGCAAACTGTGGCTCACGAGCCACATGCGGCTCTTTGGCCCCTTGAGTGTGGCTTTTCCACAAAATACCACAGCCTGCGTGAGTTTATTTTGAAGAAGTGGCATTAGAAGAAGTTTAAGTTAAAAAAATGTGGCTCTCAGAAGGAATTTCAATCGCTGTACTGTTGATATTTGGCTCTGTAGACTAATGAGTTTGCCCACCACTGGGTTAGAGCATGGTCCCCCATGGTACCCCAAGGTTACTGGTTGATCCTTGGTCAGGGTGCATATATGATCTCACTCATTTGCGGAATATAATGAACAACATAAACTGATGAAGAAAACAGACCCAGAGACAGAGAAGCATAGATCAAACCTTCAAACCTCAAAGGGAAGGTAGGGGAGGGTGGTGGTAAGGAGGAGGGATCAACCAAAGGACTTGTATGCATGCATGTAAGCCGAATCAATGGACACAGACACCAGGGGGGTGAAGGCATGATTGGGATGGGTGGGTGGGAGAAAGAGTCAATGGGGAAATAAGGACACATATGTAATATCTTAATGAAGAAAAAAAGAATCTAACAATGCTTTTCTGTTTTTTGGATGCTGGTTTTTTTTTTTTTTTTTTTTTTGTAATAGATGCACAATTCTGTCAATTTATTAAAAATTTTAAACTGTAAAAAAGTTAAATAAATAAATGAATTAAAAATCTTAAAAAAGAATCAAACAGGTTTATTTCTTTCTATTATCTATGTATTCATTTGATCTCTTTCCCTTCTCTATTTTGAAAATCAATAAATAAATTAAAAATTATAAAATAATTGTGTTGTGTCTTTGGATACACATTCAGATATGAGATTGCTGGATAATATGGTACTCCCGGTTTTAATTTACTTACTAATGAAGATAAACGTTTCCTCTTTTCATGATGTAATATGAGAAAGATAAAAGAATTCTACCTGATACACACTAGATAATTTAAATGTAATGTTTGATTTCTTCTAATGTTTATGTGTTACTTAACATGTGTTTTCAAAGTCTACTATTTCTACCACAACAGTTATGATCAAGTGAAATTTTAAAAAATTACATTTGTTTTCCTCCTCCATAGTTAGACTTGGGTGTTTGTTATTTAAAACAAATATTTCTATGAAAATACAAACTACTAATTATAATTTGAATATGAATTAATCAACAATATGAGTATTAATTTAATATTTCAATTTTATACACTTTGGTATAGTTCAGTCTTGCTTATTATCTTATCCTTCACAGATATTTATTATTATCAGGAAAATTTACATTTAAAAAAATATATTTTATTGATTTCTCACAGAGAGGAATAGAGAGGGACAGAGAGCCAGAAACATCGATGAAAGAGAATCATCGATCAGCTGCCTCTTGCACACCCCCCACTGGGGATGCGCCCTCAACTAAGGTACATGCCCTTGCCCGGAATCGAACCCTGGACCTTTCAGTCCGCAGGCTGACGCTCTATCCACTGAGCCAAACCGGTCCCGGCAGGAAAATTTACATTTTTAATATATAAATAATAAAATTAAATACAGCAATTTTAAAAGCAACAGTGTAAGAAGATACATTTGAGAATAAATATTTGTAACAGTTACTATATTTTGAAAATGTAGTAATTCTTCAGAATATTAGTGACAAACATCATTAAGTAGCTATTGTTAATGAAATTATGGTTTTAGATTTATTCTAATTAAGTAGCTATTGTTAATGAAATTATGGTTTTAGATTTATTCTAATTAAAATAACATAATGAGTGTATAAGTAAAATGAGGTGATGTCATTATTTAGCAACCTTGTCTAAGAGTAGAATTTAAACATCTGAGATACTCTTCACAAGGCCTAAGATTTCATGATTTTAAGATGAAATAAGCTAACATGGTGAGGGGTCAAGTCTTTTGTCCCAGAAATCTTTTAGAATATGAAAATAATTTCTCAGAGGCATCTCCCAATGGACAAACCAAGTGACACATTGCAAGCTCAAAGTCTATATTAGGAAGATGTGCGATGAGATAAATCGCCTTCAAATTTGCCCAAGTGTAAGAATTTCCTGTTCAAACTCTAAGTGACACAGAGATGAGAAATCTACTTTTTTTTTTTTTTTTTTTTTTAATTCACTTCCAGTCTTCACAGGACAGTCTGTGGACATCACAGACATTGTTTGTTTGCAGGAGTGACCTGGCCTCTCACTAAGGATTCATAACTTTCTGGCTCCCAGAGGTATGTGTGTCTACTCTCCTGTCTCTCTACTGGTCCAGTTCATTTAATGGGAAATTGCAAATGCTAGATGTGGAACTACTGAAGTACAATTCACATACAACCAAATAAAAGAAAACATTGTTATCCTTACTTGAACAATTTAGGACAAAAGAGTAAAATATGAAATGTGTTGGTAGCTATCTTAAAATATTCAAATTTTTGCCCGTATAAAATTATTAAAGAGCATACATACATCTATATTTGGGCTTGAAAATCAGTATAACTTCAATAAAATTCCATAGTATTTTGTAATTAAAATATATAATTATAAATGTATATTATTTCGTATTTATCCCAGATTTTAAAAATAGATTCTTAACAAGAATTCATCAAGCTGTGAAGGTAAAACATAATTCCTCATACATACACTTCGATTAAATAAAATCAGTGTGACTTGCAATAAAAATCAGGATTTAGTAGTCTTGGTAAAATGCTTATTTAAACTTTTAAAAATGTTTGTTGTTGAATATTTAAGCTTAATCATAAATAATCAAAATATTTTTAGAAATTGAACAACACATGCAAAAAGATGCCACACTGATAAGAGAGTCCTGTCTAATGAATTATGTTTTCATTGTCTAATAAGAATCAGAAATAGTAACAAGACAATTGTGTTAAAATAATTAAATCAAGTGACATATTGAGGGTCAGACTGAGTGTTATCTTTACATGCATTGTATCTTAACATATTTTTATTCCCACCTTAGATTAGTAAACTAGGTTGTTATACACTAAATAACTTTTAAAGGTAATACACTATCAATTTCAAAGCCAGAATTTATTCTAGATCTCACTGATTGCTGAGCCCATTGACTGAATTATTGAATAAATTATCAGATTTATTCATTTGCCTACACACTTAAGTCACCTTCGCTGACTTTGATAGCCATAGGATCTTTCTGGAATTTTGCACCAATAATGTTCCTCCATAAATGACATAGATATTTCTTAGTCATTTTATGGTTTCATATCTTAACTGTTAAATAAATTGTAAGTTACTTGTGTAAAGTTAGTATTTTAATATTCTATTGCTTTTATTATTTGTAAGTTTTGGACACTTTTAGTATGTCATTAGTATTTTTCAGCAATAAAATATTTTCTTAAATTATAATGATTTCTCAGAACTCCACAATTATTTAAAATATCACTTGAAATTTTAAAATATTATTTGCCCTTTTAATAAATAAATGTAAGTTACTAAATAAAATTAATTTCTTACAGAAAAGTGTTCTAATATTAGTATTCCCCCAACTTTAAAACACTCAATATGTTTATTACTGAATTAAAAATTGTCATAAAAATTAGGACATCACTTTCTTTCTATATAGCATTTTACTTTTCACAGTTATTCTAACTGTATTAAAATGTTTCAGTGGACTCTGACTTTAATAATGATATCATTATTGTGAATTTCTTTATTCTTCAATAATTTAGTTTTCATTGTTTCAACCAATAATGTTATGCCAAACACAGAATATCATTTTAAGAACTATTATTCTGTCATGAAACACATTTAAATCTCTATGTAAATTAGAACAAGATTTCACATTGGTCAAATGCAAAGTGAGTACTGTTACTTATCTCACACCCCACCCCCAAAGGCTCTCCTTGGGGTCCTGTCATTGTTCACATCATTTGTTAAATACTTAAGTACTGTTACCCTAAACACCATCCTGTCATTACTCAGCCTCAAAGATGGATGTCCAACAAGAAAATGACTCAGAAATGAATCTGGCTAAGGACTTAAGGAGACAGCAAGTGAAAGGTAAGGACGTGAAAAGCTCCTTTGTACCAACTGAACAGTAAGTATTCTATGTGGGAATAAACTTCCCAGTGCTTTTCAAGATCTTCCATGGAATTACAGGGATGACTAAAGCAAAGATGACACATTTATTAGACACACAGTACAAAGGTTCTAGGAGGTGCAGCTGGAATACAGAGGTGTGCCAAGGAGTAGGGAATTAGCTCACGTTTTTTCATTTGTAAGGGCCAGAGCTTGAATTTGGAACACAGTATTCTAAAATGAAATCTGAGGGCTAATTTCATTCAGGCATTGTTGTAAGATGTCGTCTTTGACCAACAACTCATGGAAACTGTGAAAATGAAATGGTTCATCTGAGAGGAAGATTCCACTGGTAGATATGGTTTTGGGGTTCAACTTTATATATGATTCACTGTGCATGTGGGTTCTCTTATATGTAGATTGTCTAAATAATGTCTCCATCTCTCCTTTCTCTTCCTGCAGTTTCACCATCACCTCCAGAGAAGGTCTTTGCTTGTATCCTGGGAGTTATCTGCCTTATCTTGATGTACAGTATAGTGAGAGCGATACATTTTATGCCTTGTAAGTATTTGGAAGATTTCAAGGAGACACAATTTTAAAGAATCTGATTGTTCTAAGGATTTCATAATACGGTATTACAGAACAGAATTCTAATTTTAATGTCTACATTTAGATAAATGTGCTATGCTGAATTTGTTAAGGGCATAGAGAATGACTTGTAGAAATATTTTACATATATTTATATATTCTGACTTCATAACTTAAACACATACTTTATAGGAATACAAAAGACCTTATTGAGAAGTACAAATTAATTATTTATATTGGGTAAGTCAATACTATAAGTGATGGTATAGTTTGTTCCCATATGCTTTTAAAATATTTCTCCCAAAGTCTGTATTACTTTATTCTTTTTTCTTAGTAAAATCAATTTTGGTAGCAGATAATTCTCATCAAAGACAATATTTAAAAAGACTTCAAGCTAAGAACAAAAATTGTTATGTTTTATTTAGATTAATTACTTTTTAATTAAGATATTGGTAAACTGGAGAAGAACAATTATTCCCAAATAACAAGGATCCAGAAAGATACATAATAATTTTCAAAGTTCTGATACTAGCAAAGTTTATTTTTTGTCGCTATTGCAAGCTGTGTAAAAATGACAACAGACCCTTTCAGTGGGGAGAACATAAATTTTAAAATGAGCAATAAATGTTCATAAATAATTATTATAAGAGAGCGTTCCTTCTTTTGCAATATTATGAAGAAACATTAATTTTAAATTCCCACACCCATTGTTGCTGTTTGGCTTAAATTTCCTACTGCTGTAATATAATAAAAGACAAGTAATTTCATCATTCTTAAAAAGTAGTTTCATTCATCGACCTTTAGGACATGTATAGAGTGGATATTTTTGTTTCTGTGTTTGCATTACATGGGCACATAAATTAGGGAATATCTGGTTGACCTTTTTCTGTGAGTGAGTGTATGAGTGTGTTTTGTTTTATATGTGCCAGCCAGGTGCACAGGTATATTATGTACCTATGTATTTATATCTATGTAAGTGTGTAAGTTAATTTTTATTTTTAAAACTTCAAATTGCTATTGGATAGTAATTTATAATCTTTCTTTAGCACATCATTGTGATCACTGTCCACTGGAGTGGTTTACATATTCCAACAATTGCTATTACATTAGCACTGAATATAAAACATGGAATGAGAGTTTGCAGGCCTGTGCTTCTAAGAACTCTACTCTGCTTTACATAGATAATGAAGAAGAAAAGGTAAGATGTTAAACATTTCATATACTTTATTTAGGGCTTATTTCAGTCAATAGTATATTGGTAGAATTCACATTTTTGTACATAGTTGTAGTTATTTAAAGTCTACATAAAATTCCACTTTGACTTCATACTATTTTTCATTTTTATACTACTAATCTCCAGTCTTGCTTTTTATAGAAAACTGTGGTTCTATAAGTGCTTGGTTTCTAAAACAAACTTTGCCATTTAATTTTACCTTCTATCAAGGATACTAAACAAATAATTGAACAGATGGATTACAAGGGCAATGGAATCATAGAATTGCAAATCAGATCACAAAATAGAGTTTGCACTCTTTAGCAGCCCTGCTCCTGTGTATTCTCTCATCATCTCTCCTGTTGTATCACTTGCCCACTGTGCTGACCTTTAATATTATAGAGTCTCTTTGCTTGCTTTTGAAACTCATAGAAATGAAATCGTACAGTAACATATTTTCTTCCTGTTTCTTCTGACTCCCATATGATGTTGCATTTCATCTATCTTGCATTTATCTGCAGCTTGTTCATTTTCACTGCTGAGTTACGTGACTGTGACATTTTAAAATCCATTCTCTCTGTTGTCGTTCACTGGGGACGTGAGTCTCGTGGCCTCCAGAATAAAGAGCCTTGCTGGGTCCGTTACTCTTAGTCATCGGCTCCTTTTCTCTGGTCCCACCTCTGCCTGGCCTGCCCTGGTTTCTCTGGTGGCCTTTCAGCAGGTGTCCTGGTGGATCACTCTCCTAGGCTTGCCTGCTGTTGCAGGGCAAGATTCCTCTGCAACACAGAGGAGGAATGGCTTCCTTGAGCCATGTCCTCTTTCTAGGTTGGCTATTGCAAATCCCCAAGTCACTTCCTTCTGTTGGGTGGGATATAAGATACCCTGTCACTCTGTGTTTCCTAATCCTGGAGTACCGAACCTTTTACTCTTTCTCATTTCACCTTTCAGGGCTCTCCTTTATTCATGTCTTTCATTAATTAATTCCAGAATTTATGGTTCTAAATAGCAGGGAAATGAGTCTCTGACACCTGGACCACTGGATTCCATCAACACAGAAACAGGTCAATTTGGGTTTATCTGGTTAAAGAATGTTGTGAGACCCAGAGAATCTTTTCCCCTCTCTCTTTTCCTTTTTTCCTCCCTCCCTCCCTTCCTTCCTTCTTTCCTTCTTTCTTTCTTTCCTTCCTTCCTTCCTTCCTTCCTTTCTTCCTTCTTCCTTCCTTCCTTCCTTCCTTCCTTCCTTCCTTCCTTCCTTCCTTCCTTCCTTCCTTCCTTCCTTCCTTCCTTCCTTCCTTCCTTCCTTCCTTCCTTCCTTCCTTTCTCCCTTCCTTCCTTCCTTCCTTCCTCCCTCCCTCCCTCCCTCCCTTCCTTCCTTCCTTCCTTCCTTCCTTCCTTCCTTCCTTCCTTCCTTCCTTCCTTTTTTCCTTCCTTCTTTCATGTCATTTATTTTCTTAATTACAATCCCTTCTTTAAAAAAACTTGATATCTGAGGAATAGTAGAAAATAACATCGACTTACTCAGGTATCAAATGCTTTAAGTATTTGGAAACTCATTTAAAGTTCTGTTATGTTAGTTTTATCAACGTGGGTAACTACTAAATTACATGAATAAGATTTTTTTAAATTAACTTAAGAAGAATGAGACCTTTAAACATTAATATTTGGGTTAATTTTATTTATTTATTTATTTATTTATTTTAATATATTTTATTGATTTTGTACAAAGAGGAAGGGAGAGAGATAGAGAGTTAGAAACATCGATGAGAGAGAGAGTCATCAATTAGCTGCCTCTTGCACACCCCCTACTGGAGATGTGCCTGCAACCAAGGTACATGCCCTTGACCGGAATCGAACCCGGGACCTTTCAGTCCCCAAGCCAACGCTCTATCCATTGAGCCAAACCGGTCTCGGCTGGGTTAATTTTAAATCAAATGTATAAACATTGCTGAGAGTTTTTGAAAATATGAAGTGATTTTAATATATTTTTAATAAAAAGTCTTCATATATCTTTAGTGTCAGATTAGGATAAAACAACCTTATTTTGTTCTAAAAATGAAGGTTTTTTTGAGAGAATACCCTACTTGCTTTAAAAAGATAAACTTTCATGATTATTATTTAAATAAAAATTCTTTATTTTGGTGTAGGAATTTCTGAATTCCATATTTCCTCCATCATGGATTGGAGTTTTTCGTACCAGCAGTGATCATCCTTGGATGCTGATAAATGGTTCACCTTTCAAACTAAAGTAAGTTTTAAATGCTATATAAAAGGAAAATTCAACAAAAGAAAAACTCTGGAGTATTATTGATGTTTTTGTTTAAGGCGAATTATACACATGAAGAAGGATTGTCAAAGTTGATGAAATGTTGATATAAACATTAAAAAATGACTAATTTTCCTAATAACCAACTCTTACTAATTTTTTATGAAAAATATCATTACCCATTTTCAAAATATCCTCTGATTGCAGTTATATGGAAAATGCTATTTATTGCTTCAAAGATTGGCCCTACACATAACAATAAAATTATGCATTTTTCTCCATTACAGAATAAAAGACTTATCATCTGGTAAAGGTGACTGTGCTGTGCTAAACCTATATGACCTCACCTCAGGAAATTGTGGAGATTCAAAAATATTTAGCTGCAAGCATAGGATTCAGAGTTAAAACGCCTGATTTTGGATTCTGTTGGGTAACTTTATTTTCCCAACATTATGATTGCATATATCTTCAAATGAATTATATCACTTAATATAATAATGAAATAATTTTCTATACCAATTTTTGGACAATAACATACACATCCAAAAGTGCATATATTCATTGCTTTTAGTGTCTGATGTGTTTTGCTCAACCTTATATTGTGGCATTCAACATTTCTAAAAGATCTTATGTTGTGTGAGTCATGTTATATGTGTTATCAAGAATAGGCTAACCCACAGAGGCAGAAAGTAGGTTAATGGTTGCCAAAGGTTGAAGGGAGATAGGAATAATAAACAATGCTAATTGGTACACTGTTACTTTTGGGGGCCGGGCACTTTCTAAATTTTGTTAGTAGTGATAGTTGCAAATTCGATTGAATATACTAAAAATCACTAACAAATATACTCTACATGGATGATTTTTTTTTTTGCTTTGTAAATTAAACCTCAGTGCAGCTATTAAAAAAAACAAAACTTAAGGTTATGTTAGAGGCTGCATTTAAACTTTAAATAATTTATGAAGATCTCATTTTACAATATTGATTCTTCAAATCAATATCATGCTTTATTAGGCTTTCTTTAATTTCTCTACTATGTTTAAAAATTTTCTATGTTGAAGTCAAAGAAATATGATTCTTCTATAGTTATGATTTTGTAAATGGTATACTTATTTAAAAATTTCTTTAGTAATTTTTGCTGCTTTAAACATAAACGTAGTTGAAGTTTGCTATTGATTTTTCTATTAATCTTATCATTTCAAATATACGTTCTTCCACATAGTATATATAAAGAGTTATTTTATTTCTTCATCCTTGGTGTAAATATTTTCTTTTCTTGACTTATTTTCATAGGTTACAGTTTTATTTCTAATGTTGAATAGTAAGGATAGTAAAAATGCTATATGTATCCTCTATTTTTTTAATATTTCTTTTCTTTTAAAAATATATTTTATTGATTTTTTTACAGAGAGAAAGAGAGAGGGATAGAAAGTTAGAAACATTGATGAGAGAGAAATATTGATCAGCTACCTCTTGTACACCTTCCACTAAGGTACATGCCCTTGACCAGAATTAAACCTGGGACCTTTCAGTCCACAGGCCAATGCTCTATCCACTGAGCCAAACCGGTTTTGGCTGTATCCTCTATTTTTGGGGACCATATTTAAATATTTCATCCTTAAGTATGAGGTTTGTTTTAAAGTTTTTTTTTTTTCATCAGACCTTTCTCATATAAAAGCAATTCCATAATATTGCTATTATTCAAATATATTTTTATAATGATGTTACATTTTTATTATTTTTGCAACAGTTGAAATGATAAATGTTTTCTCTGTATAATGTTTATGAAGGAAACTGCCTTTATTTGTTTTAAATGTTAAACCAACCTTGCATTTCTGAAATAAAACTGCAGTGGTTATTTCGTATTGTCCTTCTTCAAAATTCAGTGCATATATTACACTTAGATTAAGTTTTGTTTTTTTTTTCCATCCAGGTTCACAAAGAGTTGAGAATGAGTATTTATTTCTTATGTACTTGCCAGGTTTTTATATCAAGGCTATATTAAAAGCATTTCCTATTTCCTGGAAGCCTTTGTATAAGAATACTTTTATATTTTTAATGTTATTTTTCATTACTGATGCTGAAACCAAAAATGTGGGTGTTCTGAGTCCCATTTCTTGTCTCATGAAAAGCAAAGAATGAAGTTGCAGACAACAAGGATTAATGGAACCAGAGTGCCAGTGATGTTCCCTCTTGCACCTGCTGCTGGCACCTGGCACTGGTCCTGATTGCCCCTGAGGGCTACTCCATCTCCTCCTGCTCCTGAGGGCCAATAAGGGCAGCAGCTGTGGCTGACACCCACTGGCAGTGCTGGCTCTGCTCACACCCGCTGCTGGTGCCAGCTCCAATTGCTCAGTGCTGTCAGCACATGGGAGCAGCAGTGGCGGGAGTGGAGCTGCTGGTAGAGAGGTGACCAGGGACCGCAGAAGGACAGGCCAGGTGGGGGCCAGAGGAGAGGCCAAGACAGACCCCTGTGCCCACTGCAGCCTTGCAGCCCACAGTTCTTTTGAAAGTGCACAAATTCATGCACTGGGCCCCTAGTATTTCATATAGTGTACCAAGCACTTCCAGCACGCATTTTTGGTAATTTGTTTTGTGTCTCAGCTAATGGCCACACAGAACCTTGCTGCTGGCAGGCAACAATGACAGCAACAACAGCAAAAAATGCCACTCATATTTTTATTTTTATTTTATTTTTTTATTTTTTTAGAGAGGGAGGTAGAGAGAGAGAGAGAGGGAGAGAGAGAGAGAGAGGGAGAGAGAGAGAGAGAGAGAGAGAGAGAGAGAAAGAGAGAGAGAGAGAGAGAGAGAGAGAGAGAGAGAGAGACCACCCATCAGTCCTGCTGAATGTGCCCCACCAGGAATTATGGAATCTGCAACCTTTTGGTGTATAGGACATACTCCAACCAACCGAGCCACCTGGCCAGGCCCATAAGTCACTTTCTGTAAAGAGAGCAGCTAGGACAGGTTGCTATGTCTTCCCCATTCTTCACGTTTTTCTTAATGATGCAGAAGTTATCACCACAAGAGCAGAGTGGAAATAGGTCTCCAGGTCCTCATCCTATCCCCTCATCAATTTGGTGGAACATTGCCATTGCGCTGCTATCAGATGAGGGCCCCCAGGGCCGAAAGCAATAGGGATGGGCCTAACTTTCCAGATTCCTGCCCCAGCAGAGGGTGGTCACCACGCACCGGTTCAGGAACTATCACTGCAGAATACTTTTGGAAGAACACTGTTACTGGAAGTAGCTGTGTGGTTTTTGTTGTTGTTGTTGTTGTTGCAACTCATCAATGTGTTGCTGCAAAGTTGTAATCCTTCAGTGATCATATGGGTAACGTTAATGCTGCATTCCATTGGATGATCTTATGCATACGATTTGTATAATAAGGCTTGCTTGAACACAGGCACTGCAATGTCACAGCAGACTGTCTTGCAGTCTTGACAGCTATTATGTGATTAGTGGGCGGGTAGAGTATACAGTGTGAATACACTTTATCCTCTTTATTTTCGTATTTCATCTGTATGAGAAGATGGGTGTTAGTTGAACCTATTGTGGCGATCATTTTGTAGTACATGTATATCAAACCACCGTGCTGTAAAGTTTTGTTTCTTTTGATGTATATGTGTCTTTTAACTTGTTTAATTAATATATATATATATAATGCAAATTAGGCTAAGAAGCCTTAATGGGTCATGACTGTACAGGAGGAGATTGCTCATATAGGTGAGGCCTTGAACAGAGATGGAAACAGAGACAGGAGAGGCCAGCCAAGCTGCTGTGCAGTGGCTCAGGAGCAGACACAGACAGACACAAAGGGGCTGGCCTGAGCCATCATGCTGTGGCTCTGGCAGGCCTGCTGGAGCTGACCAGGTCAGGGACAGGGTGGGGGGAGGGGCAGGACAAGGTGGGAGGAGAGGGGAGTTCACACAGCAGCCTCACAGGCCTGTCACAGGCCCTGAGAGGAAAGGGCTGGCTGCCCGCCCCCGCCCAAACCTCTGTGGCATTGCACAGGCCAGGAGTAAAATGTTGACAGCAAGTCCTTTCAGTATAATTGGGGCATTGGAGGCCACAGAATGATCATTTCCTTTCCTATGAAACATGTAACTCTGACACACTATTTACAATTAAATAAGTTCCTTTTGTTTTCACATTTTACAGCCCTGGAAAGTTACATATACTGATCAGCAAAGTGAGAAGATGAAAATAATTTTTAGGTTTTTTTAAAGATGTAACTGATTTCTGTCTAGAAGACACACCAATTCAAAAAGTGATTGTCCTGTAGGGTTTGAGCCAGGTTGTATCTAATGTGCAGTTTTACTTCAGGCTTTCATCTGTGGCAATCTCCTTTGAGCAGCATTTTCATCCTGCCATTCCCTTCACTGAGTTACAGAGCTTTTGCATCTGCTATTATATATTTGAATAAGAATTATGCATGTAACACAGGCACAATTTTGTTTTGACACAATAGAACAAAGGGTCATTTGATTCTTCCCTGGAACACAGAAAAGCACAAACTTGAGTCATTGGTGTGGCTTAGGCTAATTTTCCAAATACGGTTAATAAAATTCATGGAGGGATCTTCGCAGAGCCAAGAATTCTCTCTTTCAGGCCTACATACTCAGCATCTTCAAGGAGGAGGCCCGTTATTCTGTGTTTTGTTTTGTTTTTTAATACTCACTAAAGGATATTTTTTCACTGCTTTTTAGAGATAGTGGACTGGAGGGAGAGAGAGAGGGAGAAGAAGAGGGAAGGGGAGAGGGAAAGGGAAAGGGAGAGGGAGAGGGAAAGGGAGAGGGGGAGGAGGAGGGGGAGGGAGAGGGGGAGGGGAAGGGTGAGGGTAAGGGTGAGGGGGAGGGGGAGGGAGAGGGGGAGGAACAGGGAGGCTCACTCCTGGCCTTGGGCACGCCCTCACCAGCAATCCCACCTCTGTGCCTGAGCTGCAGGGGAAACACCTTTTCTCACAGCTCATTAGCTAAGCTCCCTGTATGCTACTTGCAGTGTTCTTGGTAACTTGGGCAATAAGAATTCAAGAAGGTAGTCTAGGGTTTTTCCACCTCACTCCTGGAGGAAAAAATGGAAGTCTGCTACTGGAAGGGCTAAGAAATGTCATATCCTGCCCTAGTGAGTTTGCTCAGTGGATAAAGCCCGGCCTGTGAACTGCAGGGTCTGGGTTTGATTCTGATCAAAGGCATGTACCTAGGTTGAAGGCTCCTTCCCGGCCGAGGCCTGGGTCCGGGCTCATGCAGGAGGCAGCCAATTGCAGTGTCCCTCTCACATTGCTGTTTCTCTTTATCTTTCCCTCTCTCTTCCACACTCTCTAAAAATCAATGGAAAAATAGCCTCAGATGAGGAGAAAAGAAGAAAGAAAGAAAGAGAGAGAGAGAGAGAGAGAGAGAGAGAGAGAGAGAGAGAGAGAGAGAGAAAGAAAGATAGAGAAAAAAGATAAAAAAGAAGAAAGGTCATAGCTTATAAAAGACATCTTGAAAATGCCTAAGGAAAGTTGTCTTTTTTTTGTGGTGAAGGTACTGGAGTCCGTGTTGGTGAAACCATCTTGGCAGCTGTGGTAGCGGGCAGTGGCAGCAGCAGTGGGGTGATGGGGTTGACACATTCCTCTCATCAGCCAGGTTGCCCCTTGCAGAGGGAGGCCTACTCATGGCTTAGGAGTGAGCTTAAGCCATCAGTAGGACATCCCTTGAGGGCTCCTGAACTCTGAGGGAGGACAGGGTGGGCTGAGGGACCTCCCGGTGCACGAATTTTGTGCACCAGACCTCTAGTTTTTAAAATAAGGGACATTTAAAAAAATTGATTTTGTTTCCCCCTACATAGGTAGATTTTGCTTTGTTATTTACCATAATTAATCATTAAAATAGAGATGGTTTTGATTAGAAAAATGAGCCAACAAAAATGCAATCATTAGTTATATAATAATTTAATCTCTGTCATGGTTCTATAGTTCAACATTATCTAATGTTATATCCTTCACAGAGATATTATTTTTGCCAAGGGAAGTCTAACATTTAAGAATAATAAAATGAATGAGGGATTTTTTTTTTAAGAACCAAGAAGGAGAAATTGAGAAGGTAAGAAATTGAGGATTAATGATTGTTGTGACAGTTAACATAAAAGTGAAAATAATAGCAATTCTTCAGATCATTGAAGACAAATATCATTAAATAACTATAGTTGATGGGATTATGATTTTATAAATTTTCCCAATTGTAATAGAAATTTCATAATGAGAGTATAAGGAAAAGAAGTATGTAATGCCAGGGTTCAGTAATCTGTCTAAGACTAGGATTTAAACATCTGAGGTACTCCTAACAAGGCTTCAGTGTTCAGAGTTTGTGATTGAGATGTAAGTTAACAGCATGTGTGCTGACGTCTTTTGTCCTCTGATATCTTTTCGAATGAGAAAACAACTTCTCAGAGGCACTGCTAATGGGGATAAACCACAGCACACACTTACCAGCCCCAAGTATCCCATATTCTGGAGGTGTTTGATGATGTAAACTATCTTAAAAATAGCCCATGTGTAAGAATTTCCTGTTCAAACTTTATGAGAAATCTACTTTTTCCATTCATGATTCATTCTGAACTTTCACAGGGCAGTCTGTGAAGACCGCAGTCATTGTTTGTTTACTAGAGAAACCTGGTTTCCCACTAAAGGCTACAGAAGGTATGTGTCTCTGTTTTCCTGTCTCTCTATTAGCCCGTCTCATGTAGTGGGAAATTACAAATGGTAGATGTGAGGTACAATTAAGATACAACCAAATAAAAGAAAACATTGGTGTCTTTATTTAAAGAATTTGGGACAAAAAAATGAGAAGAATAAAATATGAAATATGTTGGAGGCTATCAAACTATTCAAATTCTTGCCTGTTAGAGAATGACTCAAGTGCATACACCCATGCACAATTGATGTGTTAAGCAAAAATAATTTAAAGGAAAATCCAGCAAGAATCATGACAAGGAAGAGTTATTTTAATTTTATACTCAATATAGGTATATTTTATACTTAGCCCAGCCTTTAAAAAGAGATTCTTTAAATGAGTTTTCTGAATTACAATGGTAATCTAAATGTTCACTTATTTAGAATAAATAAAAATAGTTGGCTTTTAATAAAAATCAGGATGAAGTAGTTCTCATAAAGTGCAAGTTTAAGCTGAATTATAAAAAATCAAAAGATAGCCGAAACCGGTTTGGCTCAGTGGATAGAGCGTCGGCCTGCAGAGTGAAGGGTCCCAGGTCGATTCAGGTCAGGGGCATGTACCTTGGTTGCCGGCACATCCCCGGTGTGGGGTGTGCAGGAGGCAGCTGATCAATGTTTCTCTCTTATCCATGTTTCTGACTCTCTATCCCTTTCTTTTCCTCTCTGTAAAAAATCAATAAAATATATTAAAAAAAATCAAAAGATATTAAAAAAAATTAAACAAACATTGCAAAAAATGGCACCACACTGACAAAGAAACTCTTGTTTAATGAATTATGTTGCATTATAAATAAAGTATGTTATTAAATAAAAATAATTTACTTCATAGTTACTATATATGCCAACACAACTGATGCCCCATCTTTGGAGCATTCAGTCTTTAATCATTATTTGATTAAATTTATCATAAATATTGGAGAATCTTTTTTCTAATATAACATTTCAATTTTAATACAAGCATCTAATAATGTTAAAATATTTTCATGCAATCTGTCTTTCAATTAATGACAATGCCATTATTTATGCTATTCTTTATTCCTCACTGATTTCTTGCTTTTTATGGCTCAAACAAATAATATATTGCCAAATGTAGAATATTGTAAAATTTCCATCTACTATGAAGCACTCGTTTAAAGATCTAACAAATTTAAAATCAGAACTTTAGTTTTTTCTACAAGGAAATGAGCCCTACTACCCTTTACCCCGCCCAGTTTTACTGTATTAGAGATCACATTATTGCTTATGTCACTTATTTGTAAGGAAACTTAAGTTTGAGCACAGACTCCAACACCACTCAGCTGCAGAGATGCATAACCAAAGTGTAACCTATGCAGAACTGAATTTGGCCAAGTCCGCCAAGAGACAGCAAAGGAAACCTAAGAGCACTCAAAGCTGCACTCCAGTAACTGAGCAGGAAATAGTAACCTACGCAGATTTAACTCTTGGAAATGCTTCCCGGGATCTTCAAGGGAGGGACAAGAAGGACCTCTCCAAAGGTAATGCATTCAATAGACACACAGTCTAACTGTTCTAGTGTGTGCAGCTGGGGTGCAGCGATGTGGGGCAAAGTAGGGCATTAGCTCGCATATTTTTTTCATTTGTGAGAACCAGCGCTTAAAGTTGGAATACAGTTTTCTAAGACAAAAGCCGAGGGCTAATTTTATTCAGGTATTGTTGAAGGTGCAGTCTTTGACCAGTAACTCATGGAGCATTCTATTTCCTAAATAGGCAATAGCATATTCTGAGAGAAGGATTACAGTGGTAGGGATGGGCTTAGTGTCCAAGTTTATGTATTTGATTCTCTGTACGTAAACTGTCTAAACAGATGGTCTCTTTCTCCTTTCTCAGTGTTTCCTTTTTTCTTCCTGCAGTTTCACCATCACCTCCAGAGAAGCTCATTGCTGGGACCCTAGGGGTCATTTGTCTTGTCCTGATGTCAGCTGTGGTGACAATCCCTATTATTCTCTGTAAATACATTTTTGTAAGGTTATACAGAAAGTTTCACTTTTATGTCCATCAGTGCCGCTGAATACTTCATAGTGTTATAGAATAGAACTCTTATCTTAAAGTATGCATTTAGATTAAGTGAAAAATGGTAATTCTGAATTTGTCCAAGGTATAAATATCAGAATGATTTTAGAGTAGTTTATAAATATATGTACATATATATATGACCACATTTTATAATGTAAGGCATGCTTTAGGATACCTTATTGAGAAATACAAATTATTTTTTGAGATTGTTTAATCCAAATACTGTGAGAGATGTAGTTCTCTAGACTTTCAAAATGTTTTTCCTCAAAATTATCATTACTACATTAATTTTCATTGGTAACTAAACTTTATTCCAGATAGTTCTAATCCTAGATAATACAACAAATTAAATGTAAGAAACAGAAGTATTATGATGTAGTTAGATCAAGATTGATTTTTATAAGAATTACTTTTTTTCCATAGCTAATGCACCGCTGGAGCAGAATAATACCTCCTTAAAAATCAGGATCCAGAAAGGTACACAATTATTTTCTCAGTTCTGATATTAGTAGAGTTTGTACTTTATATCTAACATAGGGTAGTCAAAAATAATAGCTCTTTTGGAATGGGGACATAAATTATAATATCAGGCAATAAATGTTCATAAATAATGATTATAGAAAAGTGTTTTCTTATGCAACAATATGAAGAAATATTCATTTAAGATCATCATACCCATTGTTGCAGATGGGCTCAAAGATAATTTAAGGATTCTAAAAATGTGGTTTTCTTCATTGACATTCACGACATGTAGAGAGTGGATACTTTTGTTTGTATGTTTGCTTAATATGGGACATAAACCAGGACATAAACCAGGAGACTAAACCAGGACATAAACCAGGAGACTAACCCTTCTCTGGGAGTGTGTTTTCTTTTACATATATTGCATAAATGTGTCTATATCTAGGCAAATATGTAAATTAATTTTCATTTTTTAAATTTTAAATTGTTTTTGATAAAATTTTATAATCTTTCTTTAGCATATCATTGTGGACATTGTCCAAAGGAATGGTTTACATATTCCAACAATTGCTATTACATTAGTACTGAACAAAAAACATGGAATGAGAGTTTAAAGGCCTGTGCTTCTAAGAACTCTAGTCTGCTTTACATAGATAATGAAGAAGAAATGGTAAGATTTAAATGTTTTCATTTTATTTTATACAGAACCATGCGTCTATAAATGCTGTTTTCTAATGTAAACTTTGCTACTTGATTTTATTATACATCAAGGAAATTGAAGGTATCATGATTGTGCACATTAATTAATAACTGAAATGACCCATCCTATCTAATAAAAGGGTAATATGCAAATTGACCGTCACTTCAACACACATGATGGCCTCCCCCAGGTGGACACAAGATGGCCACCACAAGATGGCCAGCAGGGGAGGGCAGTTGGGGGCAATCAGGCCTGCAGGGGAGGGCATTTAGGGGTGACCAGGCTAGCAGAGTTGGGAAGTTGGTGACCAGGCCTACAGGGAGGACAGTTGGAGGCAACCAAGGTGGTAGAGGAGGGCATTTAGGGGCAACCAGGCATGCAGGGGAGGGTAGTTGGGAGTGACCAGGTCTGCAAGCGAGGACAGTTGGAGGGAGGACCAGGCCTGCAGAGGATGGCAGTAGGCAGGGATAATGCCTGCATGAGAGGGCTATTGAGGGCTACCAGGATTGCAGGAGAGGGCAGTTGGTGGTGACCAGGCCAGCCGGGGAGGGCACTTAGGGGCAATCAAGCAGGCAGGAAGAGATGTTAGGGGCGATCTGGCTGTTAGGTGGGGCAAGGTTGGAACGATTAGGCTGGCAGGGGGCATGATAGGGGTGATCAGACCAGTAGGGGGGCAAGGTCGAGGCAATCAGGCTAGGAAGCAGAGGAGTTAGAGGCAATCAGGCAGGCAGGTGAGGGGGCTGGAGCCAGTCATCCCAGATTGTGAGAGGGATGTCTGACTGCCAGTTTTGGGCCTAAACGGGCAATAGGACATCCCCTGAGGGGTCCCAGATTGGAGAGGTTGCAGGCCGGACTGAGGAAACCCTCTTTACCCGAATTTTGTGCACTGGGCCTCTAGTATTTTAATAACCATGCATGGTGTCAGATGGGTAGCAGACCCAGTGGGTGTTCACCCCAAAAGGTATCCATGGACCCAATCAACAAGATGTACACCTGAAACCAAAACAACACTGGATATCAATTGTAACTGACAAATCTTTTTTTTAAAATTGCTCAAAAATTATTCTCATTGTTTATTATTACCGAAAACTGCATCCAAAATCTCAATAATACAAATTAAAACCGGAGGCAAAATAATTATAATATAGTCACTTAAAATATAAAGGTAAAGAGTTTTGTTCCAATCTTCATTGCTAACCACTTGTCGGTTTCTGTACTTCTTTAATGGCTTGTTGGACATGCACTCTTAACTTTGCTTTCTATGCTATCTATCACATCTCCTTGCTCATGAATTATCATGTACAAATCTTTTAAAAAAATACATCTTATTGATATTTCACAAAGAGAAAAGGAGGGGATAGAGAGCTAGAAACATTGATGAGAGAGATATATCGACCAGCTGCCTCCTGCACAACCCGCTCCGGGGATGTTTCCTCAACCAGTGTACATGCCCATGCCTGGAATCGAACCTGGGACCTTTCAGTCCGCAGACCAATGCTCTATCCACTGAGCCAAACCAGTTTTAGCATGCACAAATCTTTTAATAAGTCCTTTATATCCATAATATCAGCTTCAAATTACCTAACAGAAGACTCTCATGAGCAAGGCAAAGGTCATCCTCCCTAATTTCCTCATCCTGCACCTGCTCCTGAGGTGGACTTTGGCTTTCACAGGATATAAGATTCTTTTCTTCTGAGCTTTGCTCAGGAAAAACTACCAAATTCTCCGGAACTGACTCCCACTGGAGCAACAAACTCTTTCTATTTCTCATCAGCTTGCCTCTGGACCTTCAGAAAGTTTGTCAATGATGTGAACTCAACATTAAGGAAGTGATCCTTCTGTATCTTCCTTTGACACTGTTCACTGGGGGTGGTGGGGAGAGATCCAAACACTTTTCACTTTTTAATTTATCTTCATTGTTGAAAGTGTTACAGATCTTCCCCTTGTCTTCTCCCCCATTGACTGCCACCACTCTACCCCCACTTCCAGGCCTTCACCAGACCATTGTCTGTGCCCATGTGTTATGCATATATGCATATAAGTTTCTCAGTTTAATCTCTCCCTCCCCATCTACCTACCCCAGGCTTCCCTCTAAGATTCATCAGTCTATCCTATGCTTCTATATTTTGGGTCTGTTTTGTTCATCATTTAATTTTGTTCATTTGATTCCCCATATGAGTGAGATCTTATGATACTTATCTTTCTCAGTGGCTTATTTTGCTTAACATAATACTCTCTAGGTCTTCCATGCTGTCTCAAAGAGTGAGAAATCCTTCTTTTATACTCTGGCATAGTATTCCATGGTGTAAATATACCATGCCTTTTAAGTCCACTCATCTATTGATGGGCACTTGAGCTGTTTCCACATCTTAACTGTTGTAAATTGCACTGCTTTGAACATAGGGGTGCATACATTCTTTCTGATAGGTGTTTAGGGTTTCTTAGGATATATTCCCAGAAGTGGGATCACTGGGCCAAATACCAGTGCCACGTTTAACTTTTTGAGGAAACTCCATACTATTTTCCATAGTGGTTGCTCCAATCTGCATTCCCACCAGCAGTGTACTAGGGTTCCCTTTTCTCCATATCCTCACCAGCAACTTGTCATTTGTTGCTTTGTTGATGGTAGTCATTCTGAAAGGTATGAGGTGATACTTCACTGTCATTTAAATTTGCATCTCTCTGATGATTAGTAACTTTGAACAGTTTTTTATTTGTCCTTGGCCTTCTGTATGTCAACTTTGGAGAAGTGTCTTTTTAGGTCCTTTGTCCATTTTTAATTGGTTTGTTTGTTTTCCTTTGGCTAAGTTATTTAAGTTCCGTATATAATTTGTATATTAACGTTTTATCAGATGTATCAGTAGCAAATATGTTCACCCATGCAGTCGGCTCCCTTTTCATTGTGTTGGCTTTTTTTTTTTTGTTTGTTTGTTTGTTTGTTTTTGCTGTACAGAAGCCTTTTATTTTTATGTAGTCCCATTTATTTACTTATCATTAGTTACTCTGGCCCTAGAGATGTATCCACAAACATATTGCTATGAGAGATATTCAAGATTTTGCTGCCTGTGGATTCTTCTAAGATTTTATGGTTCAACAACGTACACTTCAGTCTTTCATTTATTTTGAGTTTATTCTTGTGTATGGTGTGAACTGGTGGTCTAGTTGCATTTTGTTTTTGCATGTACCTTTCCAATTTTCTCCATATCATTTATTGAAGAGTTTGTCTTTACTCAATTGTATGCTCTTTAATCTATTGTATGCTCTTGCCTCCTTTGTTAAATATTAATTGAGGATAATTTCTAGGTTTGGGTCAATTTCTAGGTTCTTCATTATGCTCCATTGATCTATATTCCTATTCTTGTGCCAGTATCAGGCTGTTTTGATTACATGGCTTTGTAGTATAATTTAATATCTAGTATTGTGATTCCTCTGACTTTGTTATTCTCTCTAAAGATTGCTGTGGCAATTTGGGATCTTTTTTTCTTTCCATATAAATTTTTGAAGCATTTTTCTAGATCTGTGAAATATACTATTTTATTAGGTATTGCATTGAATCTATAGATTGCTTTGTATAGTATGGACATTTTAACGGTGTTGGTTCTACCAATTCATGAATACAATATCTTCTTTCACTTGTTATATTTTCCTCTATCTCTCTTTAAAAATATATTAATATTTTACAGAGAGGAAGGGAAAGGGATAGAGAGTTAGAAACATCGATGAGAGAGAAACTTTTATCAGCTGCCTCCTGCACAACCCCTACTGGGGATGTGCCTGCAAACAATGTGCATGCTCTTGATAGGAATTTATCCTGAGACCCTACAGTCTGCAGGCCGATGTTCTATCCACTGAGCCAAACCGGTTAGGGTCCTCTATCTATCCCTCTCTCTTTTTTTAATGTCCTGTAGTTTTCTGAGTATAGGTCTTTTACCTCTTTAGTTTAGTTTATTCCTACGTATCTTTTTTGTTTGTTTCTTTGTTTGTTTGTTCCAATGATAAATGGGATTTTTTTTTTTAAGTTTCCCTTTCTGTGAGTTCATTTTGGTGTATAAAAATGTCATAGATTTCTGGGTGTTAGTTTTCTATTCTGCTATGTTGCCAAATTCATTTATTTAATCTAGTAGTCTTTTAGTGGAGCCTTACGGGTTTGTATGTACAGTATCATATAATCTGCAGATAATGACAGCTTTACTTCTTCTTTTCCAATTTGGATGCCTTTTATTCTTTTCTGTCTGATCACTATAGCTAGGACTTCCAGTACTAAGATGAATCAGAGTGGTGAAGTCAGTTATCCTTGTCTTGTTCCTGTTCTTAAGGGAAATGGTTTCAGTTTTTGGCCATTTAGTATGATGCTGGCTGTAGGTTTGTCATCTATGGCCCTACAAGACTTTTTATCAACGTTGGGTGTTGGATTTTATCAGATGCTTTTTCTGCATCAATTAATATTATATGTTTTTTTGTTTTCCAATTTTTTTCTATACTTTTCTGCTCCTTTGGCAAGTTTGTTAGGATGCTGCTGCTTCTGTTGCAGCTGTTGCCTCACTTCACATGAATCTTGAGGTGTTTCAAGTGGCTTCAAAGACCTCTATGTTTCCACGGAGGAGTGTGGGATCTTCTGGATGTTGGATATGGTGAGCCAGCTGGGTGGGGTCAGGACAATTCTTGATATGCGAGACATGGGTGGTAGTTTATTCACTAATTGCAGTCACCCAACCCCCTCGTTTCCCTTCTCCTCCTCCAGCCAGGGACCAACTTAGTTCTTTTTATAAAATCAATCAATCAAACCTAATTTCTCATAAACATTTTTATCTCTCATAGAATTTTTTGAACAATTTTGTTACATATCTATGGATTCAACCCTACCACAGAGACAATAATAGTCTGTTGGTGTGGCAAAATGGCTTAGCTTTCTCTTCCAAACTGTAAGTTTCTTGAGAATGTATATATTTTATG